GGATGGGTGATTCGGTGGAAGGACAGGGAGAGAGAAGCGGCGGGGGCGGAGACGGGAGATGCCGCCAGGCTGAAGAACAATGTAGTGAACGTCTTTCTCTCTACAGCCAAACTCAGAGCTGCCAGCTGCATCAGAGACTTCACCGCTCAGTGTCACAGAGTCGTCGACGAGTTCACCAACACGAGGACGCAGCTGGCTGAGCTCAGAGGAGATGGAGACACAGAGCAAACACAGAGACAGGGACAGTAACCTCTGGTCTGGTCAGAGACACGGTCCTGCTCGCTCTGCAGAGACAAGTCTGCTAATGAGATGTCTGTGATTCAGCTGTGAGGAGACACTGGGGCTGATGGTGTGGGGCTTGTTGTCCCTGTTGTCTGTGAATACATCTTGTCTTAACGTCCACCTGCTCAAACGTCTCTAACTTCTAGGAGGTTTCACTGTGGCTGTGAGTTTTGTTGTAGGTGTGTGTGTTTAGTGCAGCTGCTGCTGCACAGGGATTATTTACAGCTCAGTTCACTGGAGGCTTCGGCTTCCCAGTAACAACCTTTGTTCTGGGAATCAGTGCTGCTGGTTTCAGTGCAGAACAATGAACAACAGTGGATGAAGGTGTAAAGAAAGTGTGGACATTATGAGCGCTGAGCGACAGGCTGGAGGAAATGAAGCTGTGTGAGGAGAAACTCGGGTGGAGCTGAAACCACAAATGTGATCAGGCTGGAAACAGACTGAGAAACCGTCTGTACTACTGACAAACTCAGACGCTGCTTTAAAGACGCATCTCATCTGACGTCAGTGACCGTGTCAGCCAATGAACAGCTGCACCCGTAGAACGGCAGATGAAGGCGGGGCTGCTTCGTGTTCCGTGGCTCCGATTGGCTGACTGACGTTTGTTCCACCAGCCACCTACAGCTGTGCTGACTCAGCTGTGATCAGTGTGGACGTTGGCCCCCACCATGTACAGGCAGAGGAAAGTCACAGCAGGTGGTTTGGTTCTGGGACCGGAGTCGTTTTCTTATTAAGTCTTTCCACTGTGTCAAATTGGTTTGTGCACCGTTGATCTGTTTCAGGGTTTGTGACAAGTAAAAAGGAAGTCAGAGTTCCTTTCTTGTTAGTCCGCTTGCGATCTTACAGTTATATTTTACAGCTCTGAGAGGGAGGAGAGAGAGTGAATGGCAGCAGCTGTTCAGGTGAAGCTGCTCTTCCTTAATGCAGCCTTGACTCTGGTGGAAGCGGGTGTAGTGTCACACTGTAACAGTACTCAAGCTGAAGTACAACCAGTACTTTGATGCTCGATCAGTCACAGTGTCAGCCCTTTGCTGTATATCACTCAAACTAACTTGACCTATGTGTTTGCGTGTGTGGGGTTGTTCATACTATTTCGCTGACGTCATTTTGTATACGTTGGCTATTTAGTGTCATTACGTCTCGCCAAAAAGTGTGTGTGATGAAATGTGTTTTTGGAAAAGTGTTTACATCCCCCACTGCTTCAACGCGCATGGAAGGACACGTCAAAAGACATGAGCATGGAGCTTGTATAAAAGTGCAGTTGGCGAAGGCGTCTATCACTTACGGCCGTACCACCCTGAAAACGCCCGATCTCGGAAGCTATGCAGGGCCTGGTTAGTACCTGGATGGGAGGCCGCCTGGGAGTACCAGGTGCTGTAAGCTTTTCTCTTTACAAATACCAGAGGGCGCTGCTGCTGCTGCTTCAATGCTCACCCACACTGAGAAACCCACAACACAGTACATAATCAACTCCAGAGGAAAGGTTAGTTCAGCTGCTGCAGGCATTGAATCCAAGGCGATGCTGGATTTCAGTGTAGTTGGCTGTGCTTCCCCCAGATGAGGCAGTTTCTCAGGGTCTTGTCAAGTCTGAGTCTCAGTTCTCAGCACCAAACAGGCTGGTGCACAGGTCAGAGTGAGCGTCCTTAATTCTGATGGGTCGGTTGTCATGGCCCAACTGTATCAGGCCATTTTAACTCTCTTATTGCCAATTTAAAGAAAAGTATTTTGGAACTTCTATATTTTTAATCAATTTCTCCTCTTAAAGTATCTTTTTCTGTTATTAGAGCTTGAGCCAGGCTTTTGCATTTGAGGCCCGTCACCTCTGGAGCTCCGTTCCTAAAGATCCAAGACTCCTAGAATCACTTCAGTATTTCTGAAAAGATCATTTTATACTATTAGTGCACTGTTCTATCTGGATTTTGTTAACATTTTTCAATTATCTTGATCTAATAACAGGGCTATTTCTCTCATTTTAATTTTATTTTAAGCCTTTTAGTAATATTAGCTCCAATATATTTAAATATGAATTAATGAACTACTGTGTAATTGTCTGAGTTTTAAACTATCCAAAATAATCAGGACCAGAACTGTTTACTTCTACTACTTTAATCCTGTCCTGAGAAGAGAAAAGCTACAACTGCCCTAAGGTTGGTACCGCGGCTTAATTCTGGCCTTCCCAACTCTTCTGCATTACATCTCCTGTAGGATGAGCTCGTTTAACTTGTGATGTTGGTTGTTGACTCAGATATCCTCTCTGCAGAGTTTCTGGTTCATAAACCAAACCTGTGGCTGCTGGCGTCCACATTGTCTGACCACAAACAAACAGCAAGTTCACCGCTCTGTTGGACTCTAGTCAGTTGCAACAATAGTTGTTTCTATTTTGGCCAGTGGTGATTGGCTTGGTGGTTTTGTCATGATAGTAAAAGTGAACAGGCCTGTTTGTTTGGATAAAACAGTTCTGAGAAGATCTCAGCAGTGGGACTACTGGTGTGTAGAGGTGTCAACACATTATGAAAATAGATTTTGGGGTTTATTCTAAACAAAATCAGCCTATATAAATACAACTTTAGTAGTGTGACTGATTGTTTGTCATGATTTCCCAGCTCTGTGCACTAGAGGACGTTAGGGGACAAGCACATAGTCATGTTTCTACTCTGTTTAAATGTTTGAGCTTAAGCTTGTCATCTGTTACAGGGCAGCAACTAATTATGTTCATTATCAATTAATATGCCAGATATTTTCTTAATTAATAGATTACCTATGATCCAAAAATGCTTTCCTAGTGCTCTCTCAGCACTAGCAAAGACCCGGCAGGGGTTAGACAGGATTAGGGTCATAGTGCTTAAAAGTGCTTTATGTGAGAAGGCCCTGCTAAATGTTATACTATTATATCAATAGATTATTACTATTCATGCATTAATGAGTAAGCAGAATTTTACTGTTGTAGCTGGTTGAGTTCTTCAACTACAGATGAATTTGCTGATTATTTCCTCAGTTACTGGACTGATTTTTAAAACTGAAAAAAGTGAGAAAGAAAAAAAGACAATTGATAAAAAAAAATGGTGCCTTTGTATATCTGTGACCATTTCAGGTGTATTTGTACAAACACAAGTACAAGTATATATTTACTGTTGGGTAGTTGAATCTACAATAAAGCCTCATTTTGTTTCTTCTGTGAGTCTTATTTCTAAAGCAGATATGATCAGTGTAGTTCAGTTAAGAGCACAATCTTTGCAGTCAAATGTTATTAAAATATTTAAATAAAGTACAAATACTTCAAATGTGTACTTAGGTACAGTACTTGAATAAACTGCAGTTAATTTCCTTCCACCACTGGTTGTTCATTTTCCTAGACATTTTTACAAGGAAGTTCCTCAAGAAATTGCTTCTAAACACAACTAACAAAACTCAAACACAGGAGCTGTGTGAGAACATCGTCTCCAGTTTTTCTATATGACGCTGCTCCTTCCAGAAACATTCCTAGAAAACTACAACATTACCATTTCCCCCACTGTACAAATGTAAAATGTGTAAGAGCTCTGTCATTTCCACTAAAGACACATCCAGCACATGCTGTCTACCGCATTCTTGCAGTGGGATAAAAACAGCTGGGATGACAAGCAGCATCTGGCCTCCACTGCTGTCTTAGTCCCAACCTAATCCCACATTAAAGGACCAGCAGGCCAGGGTGCAGATTAGCAGGTGTCCACCAGAGAAACGAGCCGACTCCTCGGCTGCAGCTGGAACGAGTCACTGAGGAGGCAAGTGAGAGGTTCAACAGCCATGTTTTAATTTAGAAAAGTATATTATGACAGAGCTTAGTCTAATAACACCTCCACTAAACTGAATTACTGGCTGTCACAGAAAACTCTGTACTGTACATCCAGCAGGGTTAACACAGCTACACATCATGGCAGTAAACACAATATGTTGCAGATCAACAACAGTTCACTTATTTGTTATGCACCTGAAGCAGTGTCTGACATGCTTTATTCCCTCTCCCACCCAAAACACCCTCTGTAAGGACAAAGATCACTGTCCCTCCATTACACTGTACCGTGCACAAGCAGCAGCAACAAGAAGAAGATCATGGCATTTATGGAAAAGCTGCAGAAGCTTGAATGAATAGAAAGAAGCTGAGAGGACATCTGTTCAGCAGATAACGGCAGCTCTGATCTCCTTTAAACTGATACATGCAGGAGATGAAAACAGAAAACACACTCACAACAGACTATGTAATGCTAAGAATATTACATAATGATAATTAATATGAGTATTATGTAACAAACACTGGGAGTTCACCACAGTTTGAAACCAGCACTCGTCACTTTGTGTCTGAACCAGGAAGAGAGGTCAGATGTGTAAAGTGCTCATATGAACATCAGTCTTCCTTGTAAGCCATTCTTGTATTCTGACTGGAGAGACGTGCCAGATCCCAGTGTGTGCTGTGGCACTGCAGATTCACACCAGTAACCACACATGCAGCAGTGATGTGTGCATCCTTGCTACTTGCTTAGAAAGTAAAAACATATTTTATCTCATTGACAATCTGAAAAGCTCAACCCCATCTCCACAGGTCTCATGCGCAGGAACAACAGAGCAGCCACCCCAGCACGAAGCAGACCAGTGAGTGTGCTACCTGCTGCCCTCCGCCACCGGCAGAGAGCTGCCCGTCCTTAGGATCTGGCAGCGTCCCCTTACGGAGGCTCTCGGTGCTGTTCCCCACCTCCTCCCTGAGCTCCTGCTGCAGCAGCTTGGAAATGAGGCTGTTGAAATGGTTCTCTGTGGTGGAAGGGACCTCTGAGGAGGAAGTGGTCAGGTTCAGCTCCGCAGGGTCCACGCAGGTGCCGTTCACCTTGGCGAAGACCACCTGGCTGAGATCCAGCCCCGCCACGGAGGAAGGTGAGGCGCAGGGGATGTCCCGCACCAGCTTGTAGTTTTTCATCCACTCCTTCAGCCACTTGAGGGAGCAGTCGCACTCCCAGGGGTTTCTGAAAAGGTAGAGATGGCCCAGGAAGTAGATGGGCTGGAAAACAGGGAGGGGAAGGGTGGTGAGGTTGTTGCTGTTCAGGTGGAGCGTGATGAGGCTGGTCAGGTTCTCAAATGTTCCTTCCTCGATGTATAGCAGCTGGTTCCTGTCCAGGTACAGGACCTCCAGCTCCACCAGGTCACTGAACCAGGTCTTGGACATGCTGGTCAACTTTTTCCCCCCCAAGGTTGAGCATCCTGAAGTGGCTGAGGTCTAACTGGGGCAGAGCAGGCAGCAGGTTGTCATTGAGGTAGAAATTCTCCAGCCGCACAAGGTCCTGGAAGGCCTGCTGATGGATCACGTTGATGCGGTTCTCCTGGAGGTTCAAGTACCTAAGAAAAGAACACAGGGAGGACTTCAGAGATAGGATTTTCACAATAAAAGGCTAAAACTAAATCAGGTTCTGGCAAGTGTCAACAAAGCAGCAGACAAATGGGACCCCTCCCATCAAGACACAGGTAAAAGTGACAGGGAACACATCCAAACCAGAGCTACAGCAACTGGCTGCTTAACAAAAAGATCATCTGAAATAACTAGGACCTGGGATTTGTTGTTTTAGTTCATTTTCAGACTAAAAAGGAAAAACAGTTTCAGGCTGTCAGATGAGAGAAATGTTTCATAACTCACAGTAAACAGGTTTTAGGTTGTGGACTTTTATTTGAAGACATCAGCTTGGACTCGGGGAGGGTGTCAGGGCAGGTTTTCACTTTTTAAAACATGTTTTTACATTTTCAGGTCTGTAGGTTTAATCAGTTCTTCAGGAAAATAATCTGCAGACTCATCAGAAGTTAGATGCAGCCCTGGTCCAAATCCAGAACCGCTGTGTCCCATAAAGACATTTGTATTGTGAAAACCTGATGCTTCACTGATCAGCACAGTGATGTGCAGTAAAGTCACCGTTAATATCAAAACGTAATTGAAATTATATGCAGCTGCCATAAACGATCACCTGTGCATGTTTGATTTGTTGGTCTGTGAGGTTTTTATACACATGAATTAAAATACAACTTTCTTACTACAGTATGTAATCTATCATAAACCTTTTGTTGGTCAAATAATTAGGAATAATCAGCTCTTACATCATGATAATCCATGGAAAACTGAATCTCCACTGTGAAACACTATTGACACTCAGACAACTTCTGTATTTGTATCACATTGTTATAAACACACAGCTAGCAGCTGGTCCCAGTGCTCGGTGGCCAGTTACTGGTCTAATTGGTGCCACAGGTTAAACAGTGGTGAATGTTGGTCAGATTGTTGTGTCCAGATTATAAAACTGGTCAGATGTTTGCTACACAGCAGGTGCCAACCCACACGGTGTGACACCTTAACACTTCTGCTGCAGACAGGAAGTCAGAAGACAAATTAACAGCACTTCCTTGTTGCTGAAACCCACAAGGTCACCACTACTGGTTTGAGGTGAGTCAGCTGCAGAGCTGTGACCTACCTGAGGCTGCCCAGGCCCAGCAGAGAGTTGTAGGCCACTGCCTCGATCTTGTTCCTCTCCAGGTAGATGTGGGTCAGGTTCTCCATGCCCCTGATGGCTCCAGGGATCCTCCTGAAGTTGTTCTGGAAGCAGAGCAGCTCCTTCAGTGCCGTCTGCTCTGTGAAGATGCGGTCGGGGATGTTGAAAAGGTTACAGTCCGACAAGTCCAGATGCAGCAACTTTTTCAGCCCTGTGAACGTGCGCGTGTGCAGGTAGCTGATGTACTCGTTGTGTGCCATTTTCAGCTCCACCAGGTTGGACAGGCCCTGCAGCAGGACAGAGGCTTATTTAGGTGTTGAACATGGAGTTCCACCAGGACATTCACCCCCCACTGTCTGACAACCCCAGTGACAGTGGGCCAGGACATGGTGTCTCTCAACTACACCCCCCTCCATGACCCTCTACTGCCTACAGCCTCCTGTTGTTATTCCAGCTTCTCCACCCTGTGTTGTCAAAGTACGGTCTGTAAATCAGCCCCACCTGCCGCCTAGCCATGATTAGAAGAAGGAGAAGAAGAAGCTACCAGTAGTCATGTCAAACAGCCATGGAGGAGCTCTGGGCAGCTGAAAGTCTGAACCAGCAGCTGCCAGAGTGAAGAGGTGGCATTCAGTTACTGAAAACAAACTAAGACACTCCCATAAACACATAAAAGCAGCACTAAAATATGAAGA